TGATCACACGAATTATGCCTCCCTGGGCTCACAGTACTACTGCACCAACTGTCACTTACATGTCATTACATGGACTCATGAAATCACTGGCCAGAAAATGGCTGGAATTTATGAATATAGAAAATAGGTATTAGAGGAAGGATGAGTCGATTCTTGCAAGACTAGAGATAAGCTTTCATAAGGTATTATAACAGGTAAAATAGAAGTTTAGGTTATACAAAACCCCACCCAAATGATGCTTCCCCACCAGGGGTGTATTTACCGTGAATCAAACAAGGCATTTGCCTTGGGCAGCATTTTTCAGGGGGATGGTGCCACTCCCAGAAGAAGGGTCACTGGTTGTCCTGCTCTGGTTCTTGTATGGTGATGGGGGAGGCTACAAGGAGCACTGGGGCTGGGCAGCAGGGGGAAGAGCAGAGTGGAGGAGCCAAGGAAGTGGCCATGAGACTCCTGGAAGGGAGCCGGGATTCCAAAGAGCTGTGATGGTGAGTTTCTCTCCTTCTCTCCTGGGGTGGTGGATGTCTTTGGCGGGTGGGGGTGGTTGGGTGGTAGTAGATTTTTTTTTAAAATACACCATTGCTCCCTATGGTGTTGAAAGCATGTTGGTATAATTAGCAATATAAATACTATTAATCCCTCCTTTTCTATGCAGTTATGCCTCTCCTCCATCAACTCTGTGTGACTGTGAAATGAGGCTAGTGGGAGTCTCTGCTCCACTGACAACACGTATAGCAGTGGATGACGGTGGGTGATGTCACTGCTTTATGAACTTCAGCCCTCTTGTCAGCTGTGCACTTTTTACAGAGAGGCAGGTTGAAGAAAAACATAAAAAAAGGTCTTCAAATTGTAATTTATGCAACGGGGAGCAGCAGGAAGGCAGTATTTAACCATTTTGCGGCCAGAGCCATTTTTGCATCTAATTTTTTTTGCACACATTCATATACCATCATTTTAGGCTTAAAGAGTACTTAACACCCCACAAACATTATATATTCCCTGAAAATAGAGACACTGGAGAATAAAATGGTGGTAGTTCAAATTTTTTATGTCACACAATATTGAAGCAATGGAATATCAAGTGCAAACTTTCATTTAAAAAATACACTAAAATACATTTTTTGGACAGAAACATGCAACAGCTTACCTAATTTTTTTTCATAAAATACACAGCATAAAAGATGAGGTTGTGCCGAGTAAATGAATACCAAGCATGCATGTTAAGGTTTTTGATTTTGTGCACCCGTGAAATGGCAACAAATGTTGGTGCCCCAAATTTTCCCAAGTAAAAAGCCCCTAGAGATCATCATTTTAGAGTTAACCATGAATAATGGCTCTAGACTTATTGTTCTGACTCTGGCTTGGCCAGTGTAACAGTGGTGTATAGTGGTGGGGGGGGGCTCAATAATTTTAAGTTTAAATGCTCAGTGTAAGTTTAATTTTTTTATACTATGTTTTTCACTAAACTTTCTTTTTTATCACATATGGAACCAAATAACCTCTATATGATGCTATTGTTGTGACAGGCTCTCTTTATTGGCACATCTTGTCTACCTGCCCTCCATTCAAACTAATGGAGTAAAGATTGTGCTCCATTAGCTTCTTCCTTGGCTACAGCTGCCAGGGAAAGTGACATCAGAACCCAAAAATGATGTAATATTTGGTACTTCTGGGTTCTTACTAGGTTGTAGAGATCAGTGAAGGGATGCAATCCAAACACAAAAAAAAACAGAGTTCAAATCTTCATGCAGACTAGAAGGAATTCAGAATGCCAAACGGGGAGGTGAAGCCCTTCAAAGATTGGGAAATCTGGATACTGATAAACAAAAGCAAACAAGGGCGCACTCTCATCATGCATTACTGTGGTACACCACGTGTTTATTATGTAATCAAATAGATACAGTGGGGATCGAAAGTTTGGGCACCCCAGCTAAAAGTTTGTATTAATGTGCATAAAGAAGCCAAGGAAAGATGGAAAAATCTCCAAAAGGCATCAAATTACAGATTAGACATTCTTATAATATGTCAACAAAAGTTAGATTTTATTTCCATCATTTACACTTTCAAAATAACAGAAAACAAAAAAATAGCGTCTGCAAAAGTTTGGGCACCCTGCAGAGTTAATATCTTGTACTGCCCTCTTTGGCAAGTATCACAGCTTGTAAACGCTTTTTGTAGCCAGCCAAGAGTCTTTCAATTCTTGTTTGAGGTATCTTTGCCCATTCTTCCTTACAAAAAGTCTTCCAGTTCTTTGAGATTTCTGGGCTGTCTGTCACGCACTGCTCTTTTAAGGTCTATCCATAGATTTTCAATTATGTTGAGGTCAGGAGATTGTGAAGGCCATGGCAAAACCTTCAGTTTACGCCTCTTGATGTAATCCCCCGTGGATTTCGAGGTGTGTTTAGGATCATTATCCATTTGTAGAAGCCATCCTCTCTTTAACTTCAGCTTTTTCACAGATGGCATCAAGTTACCATCCAAAATTTGCTTAAATTTTATTGAATCCATTTTTCCTTCTACTCGTGAGATGTTCCCTGTGCCACTGGCTGCAACACAACCCCAAAGCATGATTGATCCAACCCCATGCTTAACAGTTGGACAGAGGTTCTTTTCATTAAGTTCTGTGCCCCTTCTTCTCCAAACGTACCTTTGCTCATTCCGGCCAAAAAGTTCAATTTTAACCTCATCGGTCCACAGAACTTGTTTCCAAAATGCATCAGGCTTGTCTATATGTTCATTTGCAAAGTTCAAACGATGATTTTTGTGGTGAGGACGTAGAAGAGGTTTTCTTCTGATGACTCTTCCATGAAGACCATATTTGTACACGTATCTCTTTATAGTGGAATAGTGTACCACAACTCCAGTGTCTGCCAGATCTTTCTGGAGGGATCGTGCAGTCAAACGTGGGTTTTGAATTGTTTTTCTCACAATCCTGCGAGCTGTTCTGTCTGATATTTTTCTTGGTCTTCCAGATCTTGCTTTAACTTCCACTGTTCCTGATGACTGCCATTTCTTAATTACATTCCGAACAGAGGATATTGACATCTGAAAACGCTTTGCTATCTTCTTATAGCCTTCTGCAGCTTTGTGAGTGTCAACTATTTTCAGTTTCAGTTTTCTAGACAACTGCTTAGAAGAACCCATGGTGCTGATTGTTGGGGCAAGGTCAGAGGAGTCTGGGCATTTAAAACCTTTGAGATTGACATCACCTGGTCTTCCCAGACGATGATTGAGAAAAATCCATGACACTGGCAGGTCTCAGCTTTGCAAAGGGGGCAGTGCATGCTATAAATTCTGCAGGGTGCCCAAACTTTTGCAGACGCCTTTTTTTGTTTTCTGTTATTTTGAAAGTGTAAATGATGGAAATAAAATCTAACTTTTGTTGACATATTATAAGAATGTCTAATCTGTAATTTGATGCCTTTTGGAGATTTTTCCATCTTTCCTTGGCTTCTTTATGCACATTAATACAAATTTTTAGCTGGGGTGCCCAAACTTTCGATCCCCACTGTATATACTCACAACCAAAGGGAGAATAAAAGCAGAATAGGTAGACCGCAATGGCAGTCAATACAATGCTGTGCCCTAATCAGGGATAATCAGGGATAAACTGACGCGTTTCGGGAGATGAACCCCCTTCTTCAGAGCTTCACAGCAAACTGTGAAGCTCTGAAGAAGGGGGTTTGTCTCCCGAAATGCGTCAGAATATCCCTGATTAGGGCACAGCATTGTATTTACTGCCATTGTGGACTACCTATTCTGCTTTTATTCTCCTTTGGTTGTGAGTATATATCTATTTGATTACTAAATAAACACGTGGTGTACCATGGTAATGCATGATGAGAGTGCGCCCTTGTTTGCTTTTGTTCATCAGTGAAGGGATGTTCACTGGTGTCTCTCCCTTCTGTCTGGTGGTACCTGCCATGCCAGTCCCAGGTCTGCAGATGGAGGTGCAGAGCTCGGGAAACATGGTGGGGGCGCACAGAGTAGACAAAAATTTCAGGGGTGCATGAAGGCAATCAGACAACTGTAAGTCATCCATTTGCTTCCATCTGACAGCCAATAGTAGGCTTGTAAGATTTGCACACAATAACAGCAGCTGGGAGTGTGTGCAAAACCCCCTGCTGTTGCCATACATCAGTGGCAGCGATCGAGTTAAAAGACACATTGTCGTGTAGCAATGCAGTGAAGGATTTGCAGCAAAATCTGTGCGTTTCCCGCACCGCATCACAATTGCACTCCAATCATGTGAATCACGGCAGGTGTCTATGTAAGTTAATGACACCTCAAAAATGGTTCAGGGTGTGATTGGCTGAATTTAGGTGTGAACACCCATGCGACCTGATTCCAGTGCGAAAAAAAAAAAAAAAGTGCGTGAACCTTTCCTGTGGGTGCGGTGTGCAAAAACAATGGATCAAATCACACTGCAAACAATCACATGTGTTTTGAACAAGAATGCGGTACGATTCCTGTCTGAATCACATGCAGTTTCCCGCACTGTAATAGTGTGAACAGGACTTAAAGGATAAGTTCACCTTTTAGTAAAAAAATAATAAATGCACATTTTTTTGCAGGTAAAAAAATGTGAATTTATTATTTTTGCTGCAAGAGCCTGTAAAGCATTGCACCAGCTATCAGAAGATTGCTGGTGCCATGCAGGTCTCCTGCAGATCTGTCAGTACAGTATATCTGCTTGCCTGTACAGGATGTATGAGCAAGCAGATATACTGACAGGAAGAATGAATGAACTACCACTGTGCTCCACAGCGCCATAGTAGTTAATTGAAAACAAGCTGATAGCCACTAAAGCTGTCGAGACTTGTAGTCTCTCATTCACAGAACACTGTGATTTTGACAGAACACTGGAGACCCACACAGCCACGGTTTATTAAAAACTTGACAGCTAGAGAGGGAGAAGAACATTCCCTGCTTGCTGTCAAAGCAGGGAGCGGGGGATGGTCAGATCCCAACATGTTACATGTTCAGGGGTGGACTGACAACTCATGGGGCCCCCGGGCAATAGGGGATCATGGGGCCCCTGTGTCCTTGCCCAAACTCAAAAGCCTATAAAAAAGGTACCAGGGGCATTTCATGGGGCCCCCTACTGACCCCGGGCCCTCAGGCAGTGCCCCTGTACATGTTACGCCCTTAGAGGGGAGTCTCTAAAGTTGGTGTCACCCGGTGCGGTAACACTTGGTGACACCCCCTCTGACGATCCCCGCAGAATGGATCGTATCTGTGGATTGAGAATAGTGGATCAGACTCTAATCCATTATGCTTAATTTGTAGATCCGATCCATCCTGCGGAGATCGTCGGCTTGCTTTACAACTTACCTTTTCGTGGAGCAGGTCCGGTGTCACCCCGTATAGGTTGCATGTTGACGATCTATGCAGGATGGATCGGATCTGCGGATTGAGCATGATGAATCAGAGTCTGATGCATTATGCTCCCCAATATGCAGATCTGATTCATCTTGCGGGGATCGTCGGCTTGCAACCTATACGGGGTGACACTGGACCCATTCCACGAAAAGGTAAGTCATAAAGCAAGCCGACGATCCCCACATGATGGATCGGATCTGCGGATTGGGGAGCATAATGGACTCCGATCCATTATGCTCAATCTGCAGATCTGATCCATCCTGTGGGGATAGTCGGCTTGCTTTACAACTTACCTTTTTGTGGAGCGAGTCCAGTGTGTCACCCCATGCGTATAGGTTGTTACCCGACGATCCCCGCAAGATGCAGATCTGCATAGGGGAGGGGTAATGCATGACAGACTCACGATTCTTCATGCAATCCGCAGATCCGATAGTCGGCTTGCTTTACAACTTACTGTTTCCTGGCCCAGCGACTCAAACCACACCCAAAAAAGCCTATGAAAGGTACCAGGGACATCTCATGGGGCCCCCTACTGACCCCAGGCCCTCGGGCAGTGCCTGAGTTCCCCAATGGTCAGTCCGCCCCTGCTAGGGACGCCACTGCATCCTTAATATGAGTAACATAACATGTTACGCAAGGTGAACTTATCCTTTAAAGCTAAAGTACTGTATTATTATCAATGACAATCCAATTTCAGATTTCTTTAGGCTCACCGTAAACATTAAAATCGAAGCATACAATCTTTGTACAATCAACTTTAGCCTTATCAAAACGATATACAATGAGGACCTACCTAAACTATGCAATCACTTTGTTTTCAATCAGACAGGCCCTTGTACTACATAGTGGTTAGCAGATCTAAAGGCGATTGTACAATCAAATTGTAATGTGTGTGTGGGGACCTTTAATCAGAGTGTTTAAAACAAATCATTGCTTGCCATAGAATACTGCGCTATATTGCATTTTAATTTATACCACATTGTAGCTAATGAAAAAGAACCTAGTCACTGATGCTTCGTACCTTACAATCTTTTTCTTTTCTTTTTTTTTGTATATAGGAGACTTTCCCACATCTACAACCATAAAGAAGGGCTGTTGCCATGTTTCACTATTGATTTAATTTGAACCTGATAAACGAGGAGTCATAAATTTAGAAAGCCCTTGAGCCATGGTTATAAAATAAGAAGGTAAAAAAAGGAGACACGGCCACTCTTCAATTTCATTTTATTCCAATTTTTTTTTTCTGAAGAATGAAAGCATTGCATCCTTCTTATATGACTGACCCTTCAGCCTCCCTGGAGATTCTTTTTTTTACTGACATCTTCACCTCCCACTGCTTCACTGCATACAACATAAAAGGGAAGTATGTTTTCCTAGGCAAGCTAATGAACTATCACAAACCATTAGCTATTGCTAGATTGAATTGGAGACAAGAGTTTGTAAAATGACAAATGATGGATGCTCTGTATTGACATGGTATAAAACATGTTGGGATTATGCTTCTTTTTTTTTTTTTTTTTGGTGTGTTTTATACGTTTTAGTTGGATGATTATAAATTATATTGCGTGCTTCATGTGAGTGACAGGGGGAAAAAAATGTGCCTGTTATCACTGGTCCCTTTGGTAATGCATAGTAATGCCAGTGCTGTATTAGTATGAGGAATACGGTAATGCAGGAGCATAGAATTGAGCAGAGAGAGTGTGTGTGAAGCAAGCAGCAAGTAACAAGCAGTAGGCGTGCTGCTGAGTATAGAGTAGCACACAGAGAGAGAGGATGTGATTGTCACCGGTAAAAAAAAAAAAAAAAAGTCAATGGATATTTAAGCGTCGCTCAAACAGGGTGTCTTATGTCATACGTTGAACTTTGGGATCTTGCACTTTTTCTTCCCTCGATTTAGCAAAAGCGCTGTGACGCAGGCACCGCTCGGCAGTCGCCACTAGTCTGCAGCCCATTCCCTGAGCAGTTGTGTTGGAGTTCATGGCACTGTGTAAACAGGGAGAGGAAAAAGAGGAGAAAGAGGGAGATCTGAGAAAGAAAATGCGGGGAGACAGCCGCTCAGAGAGGGCTGCAGCTGGTCTCCCTCTAACAAAGCTCCCTTGAGTTGGACTGCAGCATGTCAGCAAAGTCTAAGGGGACATCCTCGCCGACAGAGGGGCCATCCTCCAAAGCCAAGGTGAAAGAACAGATCAAGATTATTGTGGATGATTTGGAATTAGTCCTGGGAGACTTGAAGGATGTAGCTAAGGAACTTAAGGAGGTAAGGCAATCAAAGACATGGGGGCGGTGGGGGCTGAAAGCATGATGCTACCCTCAGCCAAGTAGGGAGAAGAATACAGATGTTCTAAAAACTCTCACCTAACTATCAAAGCAAGCAGCTTCCGCCTGTCCTGCCAGCATTGTCAAGGTGTGCATTGGTTAACATCTCTTGCCATTGCCCTGGTTGGGCTTCTGTGAATGGGAGTGTGAAACAGGGCTGTTAGCAGAAGGCTAAATGTTTGCTGAAAGTAAAGTGATTAGCATCATGTATGTTCTCCATCCAGCTTGTACTTGTATAGCTGCAATGGGCATTTCTTAGATATGCGTATGATTCCTGTCTTCCTGATGTTAAATGACTAGCTGTGTAATGTGACCAACTGATCTTCTGATTGCTAATATGTGCAACACAGATGTGTGCACCTCTGTCCTACAGTATGGACTGATACACTGTCATACATTTTAAATTTTGTGTCCTAGCCCGGCGTCTTAGAAAAAAAAAAAGTGTGCCTGTGCAACCCACCCTGAGTACCAATTACTTTTTTTTTATTAATGGATTTCAAATTCCATTCAGCAAGAGGAGATGTGTCCTGCTGGAATGGAAGGAGGCTGCTGTGAGATATTTCATGCTGAAAGCACCTTTTCTTAAATGAGCAATTTGTACGGCACTGCTTAAACTTAATTCATAAAGGGCTGTTGTTACAATTAAGACTGTTTAGCAAGCATTGGCTTCCAATCAAACTTTAAGATTTAAAAACATCTACAGTTCATGTTGTTTACTGGAGACAGGAATATTGGTTTTACGCTCTATTGTGTTCCATCGTGTTACTGCTTATGCTACTTAAATCATACACTTGAAAAATAGATGGGTTCATGTTTTCTATAAAATAGAATGACATATCTTGTCTCAGACAGCTAGAGCTGAAGAAATAAGGAGGCAGATCTGTCCACGCTCAGATAAGGAAAATATGTGTTTGAAAGCCCCCAAACATGTGAGGAAATTAACAATTCTGATGCTCAAAAACAAATCACTACAGCATTTTCTGGAGGCATTTTTTTTTATAGAGAATGAGTCAGCTGCTGAAATAATGTATGATAATATAAAGCACAATGGTTACATTTGTGGATTCAGTGCCAGTGGTTCGGAAAAGTAATTATGTAAGTGCTAAGATAAAAAAAAAACAAGATCTTCTCTTAATAATTGCATGAAGTGATTAAAGGGGATGCAAAGAAAAAGGTCTGTCTGTCTTGTGCACGTTCTGAGGAAACATGTTTGCCTTGCCAGTGGCAAGTGTCAGATTCCTTGTGGTTTAAAAGCAGACATAGTGTAACTCGGTAGATAATGTCAATGGCAGATAAATGTAGCTACAATACAGCTAAGGGTTTTTTTAAAGCAATTCGCTAAATCATAATTTTGCTCCACAACTGGTCGACAGATGGTTGGATTATGCAGTGAAATTCTACTGGAAAGATTTTGTACTTTGACTGATAATCCTTTGTTTGCCATTTATATAAGACAGGCATTCATTTTATTGAGTGTGCAGCTTTCTCTCCGAGCTGACTGCAACAGGTCTTTATTTTGACAGAGCAATGTCTTGGCATTTAATTGTGTGATAGCAACAATGGGGATTTCACTGCAGAAGTAGGGCATGTGCCTTTAGGGGAAGTCTATGAAGGGCGACATGATAATATCAGAAGGGAGATGTCTATGTAAATGTCATGCACAGTGGCGGCAAGAACATGGGGTACAACTGCTCTTAGGCCCCTAGGCCCTGCACTTGCACCACTAATGAAATGGAGAGGCCCCCACCATAAATGATATCATTATTGATGCGGCAATGGCATTATCATTCAAAGGAAGAACAAAATGAAACAGCAAAAGGTGCAAATTCTACACATTGATTGCAAACCACAAATGTTTTGTCCCTGAAATATAGTTTAATAAAGTTTCATCTTCAGTGGACCATTTGAAACTTGTCTAAAACAGAAGCTTAGAAAATGTGCTCCATTCTATAGAGTGCAATACCAGTACACACAGGGGTGGACTGACCATTCGAGCACTTGGGCACTGCCCGAGGGCCTGGGGTTAGTAGGGGGCCCCATGAAACGCCCCTGGTACCTTTTTTATAGGCTTTTTTGGGTGTGCTTTGAGTGTGGGCAAGGACACAGGGGCCCCATGATCCCCTATTGCCCGGGGGCCCCATGAGTTGTCAATCTGCTCCTGAGTACACAGCTAACAAGTAAAAAAGAGGTTGGTTTGTCCCCATTCCTCATGGGTCTGGGGCAATCGTACCTTCTGTACCCCTGGAAGATATACCCTAATCATCACTGTAACTTGCCTTGCAAAGGGTAGCCGCCTACATATATACTGGTTTTGGACAAAAAGATAATTTTCTAAAATGTATGAGGTTTATTACAGATAAGGGTGTGTGCAGCAAACCAACATTTCTATATGGATAATGTCGCCAACGTGATTGGATCTTTGATGCAAACCCATTATTATAGTGCTAGTCCACACCCTCTCGTACTGTAAGTCACCTCCGCATGAAGTCTTGTCTTATAAGCCACTTTTCTGGAAATGGAGCTTGGCATTTAGATAAATGTTTATTTGCTTATTTCTGCACATTGTAATGGCATAATACCATCACTCAAATTATAAATAATAACTAAATGTCAAAGTATTCTATTATTTCTCTCTCTGTGACACAAATGGTTTGAGAATGTAAAAGTATGAATCAAACACATTTATTTTGAACATAGCTGCATTCATTTTCTCCAGTTTTTTTTTTTTATTCTCTGTGTAATCATCCTGAAAGCAATAGCTGATTAACTTTTTTGTCCCACATTTGAATGTCAGAGGCAAATAATTCAATTAGAATTGATTTATTTCCCTTTTTTCTCTGTTCTTTGAAAGATATTTGTTTAAGAAAGATTTTAGAGATATTCTGGTAAAAACCAATTGTAATTGTGATTGGCGCATCACTTTCCAAGAAGATTAGACATCAGGAGTGACTTAAACTAGATCGCAGATTGAATTCACTAATCTTCTGTTCTAGTTTTTCGTTCTTTGTGGAAAGAAAACTACACATCTAGTTAAAGACAAAGAACTGACAGTTTAAAAATGCCTGCAGGAGTTATTTCCATACTAACTTTGTGCTTTTATCTCTCAGCTCACAAATTACACTTTGGCAAGTGCTCCTTACAATAGTGGAAGTGACATACTCATTTATCACAGGAAAATTATGTATTTTAAAAGCATAAGTGGCAAAAGCTTCATAACCGCATGGCACAATTGTCAGAACATGAACATTAAAACACACTTAAAGCATATTTACAGTGGGGCAGACATCTTGCGGGCTTAATCACTACTTACCTATTAATTTCACAAAACATATATTATGGAAAGGGATTGGCCTCACCATATGCATTGTCATGCATTTCAGTTTGTTTTCTAAAGCAGGCAAAATGCAGAGATATGAGGGAATAAATGCTGCTTTCAGTAGTGTAAATGTGCTACCTTAACATGCTATA